TGATGGAGGAATGGTCATCGAGATAAAAGTATCGATCAAGGTCATTCGAAGGAACTTCAACAGATTTAGGATGAGAAAAGGGGTTGCTGAAGAAAGGTAAGAGCCTTAATGGAGACAAGGATTGGTGTGAAGATTTGAGGGCTTTGATGGAGGAAGGGTTGGCAAAGAAAAGATCAATGGATGAGAGGGGGATTAGGTTCAGGCAAAGGTAGAGAGGGTTAGGGATTTGGGCTCCGGAAGAAGATGAGGACAAGAATGGGAAATGAAGAGACAAATGGAAAATGATGATTTTTTCTTTTAATTATTTCATAACCTATTGACTACATGGAAAACAAATTTTATTGCCAACTCATCAATTTTGCATGTAATCACACGTCACCATAAAAATAAAAAGAAAAAAAAAACTAAGTATTTAATGGATTATAGTGCCATGCTGTAATTTAACTGATGAAGGGATTAAAAATGAGTCGGATTTTAAACATTAGGAACTTAAAAAAGGATTTTTTTAGTATAGGATCAAGAAGGGGTTTTTTTCAATAGTGAAGGGACCAAAAATGATATTTAACCTTTTAGTTAATGGTATTTTTTTGGCTGAATTTTGGTTAATGGTATTGACTTGGGTAATCTCACTATTTTAAAATTCAGACCAAACTGATCAGTTTGATCGGTTGAACCAAAATCGGTTATAAAATCAATTTGAGTCATGACATAAATCTAGTTTGTAGTAAGACTTCGTCAAAGTGAGTTAAATTTGGTCAAAACTTAGAAAAATCGATCAAATTCGTTAGTTTTTGAATTGATAAACTGTTCGGTTCACAAATTTTGAAAAGTTTTAAACAAGTTTGTACACAAGGAGATTCGAACCCCACTCCCTCAACACACATTTTGGAGTTACATCACTATTGTTGGTTTTACACAAAATTTTATTTATTTAAAATAAAATAAAATAAAAGAGCATATTTATGTAATTTACAAAGAGTGCATTTATGTAATTTTCAACAATTAATTATTTTCTAAGTCAATATCATGTTAATGATTTTAATTGTATATTTAATAAATAAAATTTTCTAATATGTGATCTTAAGATATATGCAAAATTTAATTAAATATAGTATCTTTAATTAATTTTATATAAATTTTTATATCAGATTTAATTAAAATAAAATAAAAAATGTAAAATTGAAATATAATATAAT